CCTGTAATCCCAGCACTTTGGGAGGCCGAGGCGGGCAGATCACGAGGTCAGGAGATCGAGACTATCCTGGCTAACACGGTGAAACCCCGTCTGTAAGAAAAATACAAAAAAAAAATTAGCGGGGCGTGGTGGCGGGCGCCTGTAGTCCCAGCTACTCGGGAGGCTGAGGCAGGAGAATGGCGGGAACCCGGGAGGGAGAGCTTGCAGTGAGCTGAGATCCGGCCACTGCACTCCAGCCTGGGCAACAGAACGAGACTCTGTCTCCAAAAAAAAAAAAAAGAATGAGAACTAACTCTGCTTTCTCTTTCCCAGCAAGTCACAATTTTATGTATAGCAAAACTGTCAAGCGGCTGTCCAAGTTACAAGAGTATCAACAGTATTATCCAAGCCTGACCTGCGTCATGGAAGGAAAGGACATGGAAGGTACAACTCTGCAATGAGCAACAAGACTTCCCTTGCTATTAATCAAATTCCTAGTCTGATGGTTTATCATCGTCAGCACTAAAGGCCTAAACTAAAGGCCTAGTTTTTCCTACTGCACTCTTTATCTACTTGGTGTCTTAAATAGACACCTCAGGCCGGGCGTGGTGGCTCATGCCTGTAATCCCAGCACTTTGGGAGGGTGAGGCGGGTGGATCACCTGAGGTCGGGAGTTCGAGACTAGCCTGACTAACATGGAGAAACCCTGTCTCTACTAAAAATACAAAAAAATTAGCTGGGCGTGGCGGTGCATGCCTGTAATTCCAGGTACTCGGGAGGCTGAGGCAGGACAATCTCTTGGACCCAGGAGGTGGAGGTTGTGGTGAGCTGAGATCATGCCATTGCACTCCAGCCTGGGCAGCAAGAGTGAAACTCTGTCTCAAAAAAAAAAAAAGGCTAGGCACAGTGGCTCACACCTGTAATCCTAGCACTTTGGGAGGCTGAGGCAGGTGGATCACGAGATCAGGAGATTGAGACCATCCTGGCTAACACGGTGAAACCCTGTCTGTACTAAAAATACAAAAAATCAGCTGGGTGTGGTTGCAGGCGTCTGTAGTTCCAGGTACTCGGGAGGCTGAGGCAGGAGAATGGCCTGAACCCGGGAAGTGGAGCTTGCAGTGAGCCGAGATCTTGCCACTGCATTCCAGCCCAGGTGACAAAGCGAGACTCCGTCTCAAAAAAAAAAAAAAAAAAAAAACACCTCAAAATTAAAGTATCAAACAAGGGTCCTCAGAACTGTCTCACTTTCTCCTGCTCCCATCAATACTAAAGCTTAAAACTCGAGAATCATTCTTAGCAGTTTCTCTTTACTTATCATCTTCACCCCCACATCCAATTAATCACTAAGTTCAACGGTAAATATATCCCTCTCCCTATACAGTTCTGAATTAACTGAAAAATAAATATACACAGGATATAAATATATACAGTTCTGAATTAACTGAAAAATAAATATAAGAGTAAAATTATACCTGGCATGGTGGCTCACATCTGTAATCTAAGCACTTTGGGAGGCCAAGGCAGGCAGATCACCTGAGGTCGGGAGTTCCAGACCAGCCTGACCAACATGGAGAAACCCCGTCTCTATCAAAAATACAAAATTAGCTGGGCGT